CTGTATCTGATTTTTCTATCAAGACTCGACACTGAAAGTGTGTGGCTCTCTCCTTCTCTCTACCTATGGCAACTTCTTAAATGAAACTCACAGGAGCTCTTCTTGAAAACTGTGGTGCTCATGAACTTCAAGAATCTGTCGGCATAGAATCCTGGCCGGTGGACCGATACAGTGTCCTGAGGGAGAGACAGAGAGATTAATGAGACAAATGGTGCATGAATAAAATGATCAAACTGGTGCTCGCAGTAGATTAAAACTGTCTGTGAGTTTTTCAGTGACCCATTTCAGTAATTCTTCTCTCTGGGCCAAACCACACGAGTGAACGACACCTGCTACAGACACGCAGAAACACAGTCAGACGAGGCTACAGACCCAACTCTTCATTATTTATGTTTCAGCAGACGGAGATAAGACAACACCAGCGGACTGACAGATGACACTTGGTGTTTGGTTTGAGACAGAGGACAGTAGGGGCGGCGGAAGCAATGAAGAGAGAGAATCTCAGTTATTAGCTTTTTTTGTTTCAGCATCACTGTTGCTCAATATGTAATGTTGCGTGTGGCTCGGAGGTCGTGCTGAGGATCCATTGTCGTCAGCAACGGTGACGAACAGGACGCTGTTTGCTCTCCCACACGTCTCGCTTGTCAGGGTGTTTCGGAGTGGGAGCTTGGAGTAAAGAAAAGAGGCGGAGAGATTGATGGGACTGATTTTCTGCTGTAAATCTTTCTGAGTTTAAGTCAGCAAGTGATGCACTGTATCAGATTCCCTGTAAAATCAGACTTGGCAGAACAAAATATAAAATACTGCGTGTAGGCAGCTGCTGATCTTAATGGCTCTGTTTATGGAAATAACGCTAATAATAAAGTGTTTCTACGGCATTACAGTTTTAAGGCCCACATATTTTTCAGAATGAGCAACGGACAGTGTTTTCCTCAGAGTTACATTGTTTAAGTAGTGGTAGTGGAGGAGATATACCTATGGTTTTATAAATAAATTAATAAATAACACTTTACATACAATAAACAACAGATTAATGTTGAAATTACGGAGCAACTGAACTTTTAAAATATGAGTGGACTGAAGATGTAACTCCATGGTGTCGTTCTTGGGATGTGTGCTAAAGGCTAAGATATACCCGGATGGCCTGCATAAGTGGACTCTGCAGTATATGTGGGATAATCTATCATGAGCACAGGACAAAGGACAAAACTACAAGTCAGCTACACAGTACAGGAGCTTCTCAGCTGTGGAAACCCATGCCATGAAGCTCCCTGTGGACGATTTTTGTGCTGATGTTAATGCCAGAGGAGGCTTGAAGCTCTGCATTGACTCAATGTTATCGAATCAGCAGAATGTTTGAGACTTCTATGCACAAAAGAGCTTTTGTCCACTTAGCACCCTTGACTTGGGATGAACTGCAGAACTGGAAAATAACTGAATTAATTTGATTTCATTTAGTGCTTTTAAAGCAAAACTAGGCTACGTCCACACACATACGACTCTGTTCTGCTTCTACGCCCCATCCTTGTTTACGTTTTCCCACTGAGGCTTCTAGACTTCTGATTGGCCAACATTTCTGCACGGTTAGGAATATATCGCCACCTGTTGCTTTGGCATGTTCCTAGCAGCGTTTTCCTTCGTTTCTGCCTTTACGTGTGGACGGGATTAATTTTTAAAATGAAAACGGAAAATCTCCATTTTCAAAAATACCCGGGTACGTGTGGACGTAGCCTAAGAGTCCCTGAGGCCAAGTCCATAACATGCAACAGTTTCAATTAGATTGTTTGTCACTTTAACTGAATTTTATTTAATTCTATCTTTATTTTATTTAATTTTTCATTTATTTTTTCACGTGTGTTGTTGCTGCCTGTGTTTAATTGAGGAACTGTGAGAGACTTGCTGCTGCCTATCTTGGCCAGGTCTCCCTTGAAACAGGTTTTTAATCTCAATAGGATCCTCCTGGTTAAATAAAGGTTAAATAAATAAAAGAAAAATAAAAAACTTCACTCTGTGACACTGCCCTGTAACTTTATAGCAACACTGTTACTACTTTGCGGTGGTTCCTAAATGCTTCAAGTTTGCAATAATACTACTTAAAGTATGCTGTGGAATATTCAGGATGGAAGAAACTTCACTGACTGACGTGTTGAAGCGGTGGCATTCAAATTACAATACAACGCTTCATTGCGTCACAAATGGCTGATTGATTGATTTTATACACCTGTTGCAAACAGACTGAAAACACCTGAATTCAAAGATGAAGAGACTGTGAGGCCCAATAACTGACATACAGAGATATACTGGTATTATATACACTAGCATAAAATCAATATGAATAAATAAATAAATACACTTATTCTTCTTTTTTATTACTAAGTTATTATACTGTGTTGTGTTGTGATGTGTCATATCGTGTCGTGTTGTGTTATATGTAGTGCCAACGTAGGACAGTTTTCCAATTTCATTGTACTACTGTACTATGTATGACTGTGCAATGACAACAAAGAGTTATCTTATCTTATCTTATAAGGATTTGTTGATAGTACATCAAAAAATATAATAAATTTTTTTTAAAATGAGTTCAAAATGTACTTGGGTGGTACATCGTGAGATTTAAAAAAATCAATTCTTTCTATGTATTCAAATTAAATAGCAACTGACTTATTTTGAATAAAGCTTTAATAAGCAAAACCGGATAAAAGGAAAGATGGATGGAAAGTCTGGGATAGGTATGGATTTACAGGTTTAGCCATGTGGATGGAGAAATAATGAGTCAGGCAGGTAAGCTGACAGAAAATTGACATTTTGTGCCAATAAAACCTCTAACGATGTCGAAGCTCAGGAAAGAAACCCAAAAGCTAAAAAACTCACCCCGTCATGAACCAAAGCCTTCCACGTGTGTTCCAACTTCTTGATTAACCTGCAAAAACAAAGTTGGCATGGCAAACATGAATAAACCTAATGAACTTAAAGGTGTTTTAGTACAAAACACTGTGGCAGTAGTGTACAGCATGTACACATTATTCATGTCAGCATCATGCAGACGTTTGGCTGATTTCTAAGATGATCACCTGTAAGACTGCAAGATGTCGATGATTCCGATGAAGAGAAGAAGCCTTTCTCCTCTTCCGCTAACGGCGGGGATACCGCCCATCCTAAAAGGAGAAGAGAAGTAAAGCTAAAATGAAATGTGGCAGGTTTGGGTGCCATTAATCTCCAGCTATCAGCTTCTTCACAGAGTTTATTTGATTTATTTTTCTCTTTCTTATCATCATTAGTCAGCTTTAGGATGTTGTCTTTGTGAATAAAAGAACATTTAATATCAAACTACAACACTTATTCAAAATAAATGTATCTAGATTTAGCCGTACGACTCTTGGTTGGGTTTAACTGAACAGAAATGTGAACCCCAGCTGTGGAGAGGATGACAGCATCGGGTCTGGTTCATCTTTGCAGTCTTCTGCTATTCCTACAGCTCATTCAGGTAACTGCAGGCATCCAGGCATTCACCTTTGACTACATAATCCCATAAGTGCTTCTCTGCAATGTGAATACACTCATACCCTGTACCTTCAGTGCCTTTTAAACTTGTGACAGAGAATCT